TTCATTTTGACCTTCAATAGGGCGACGAATATAATCAATAAAATGACGTTTTTCTTGTGATGATGCTTCCTTTGTCCACCATTGTATTACTGTTGGATTATCATGAGAACCTATTTAAAAGGCAATATTAACTAGATATCTGAATTTCAATTGATGAATATATTTTGGACAAGTTTGTACTCAAAATCATATGCATAGAGAAATAATGACAATTAAGGCTCTAATTCCAATATATGCAATCAACATGATTCAAAAGTATGCTATGAGAAGTCAGTTATTAATTATTTTCATACTTTGCGTAATATTTGAGCCTGAATTAACTTTCGAAATGAAGATATGACATAAAATCTGCCGATATACAACAACTAGTATACTTTTGTATGATTTATTTCTAAAGAAAATTATCTATTTTCAAATATTCATATCTTCAAACTTGGAAAATTGTCAGCAATCAAAATTGTTTTCGTAGTATTGTTTGTTGCATTACTAATAAAATATTACTGTAAAAAGATCGTCTAGTGTTTTAGGTCGAACTAATTTCCGAAGATTTGTTTCTATGTTCGACTGATGGCTTATGACTTATGATAGATGATAAAGAAATTCACTGACGAGGAAGCATTCCTAAGTGTTCATTCAGTCTTAAGTTGACACTATATGCATCATAGAGCTTCTAGTAAAAAATACATGTACGGAAGAATTCATCGTCATGAACCTTTACACAACTAACGGTTGAAATGACACTATTTTATTCTAAAAGCTTTAGACTTTTTGGATACATCTATTTTGAGATACGTGTATGAAAACACGATGTTTTTTTTTACATATCATTATTATCTTTAGGAAAATTTTTCCATATTTTCATCTCACGATAAGAGCAATTATAAAATCAAAACTTTCACTATCGAATAGTTTTATTGATATGTTTATCTGTGCGAAAACCTTTTCGGATGTGTTACTCTTAATGAATGCACATCAATTCTCATTATAGTAAGATGTCTGTGAATTTTGTCTTCTATAAGATTCTTAGACTTCTCGAAATATTTGTAAAATTCAAATTTTTTTCATATCTATATTATGTGAAATTGTAATAAACATCAAACATTACTTGTATAAGCAACTGAACGTGGTATATAATTATGTGGTGCATACATATTATCTGCATCAAATTTGAAGCCTTTCTGCCCAATACGTATACCATGTAATTTAAAACGATCACGTAATTCAAATACTTGAACTGTTAAAGCACCAATATCCTCTATGATCAATGGAACATCGTCGCCAAGAGCACGAGTTACAGCTGTAAAAAATTCATCACCACTAGAATCAGAGAAGAGAATAAAATCAAAAAATAACTAGAATTACTTTGATAAACGTTTGAGATTATACCAACAATAAGTAATAGTGTCGAGACTTTACTAAGTAACAGAAAGCTCGAGAATTTCTCTCTCTATGTAAACTGATAGCTTAAATTGCATTTTCTATAATTCTACATTTGATATCATAGTAATCGAGTTTTGATACAAACTATTCATCTTTGTTTTAGAGGAATAGTAAAAACGTTTATCTTTCAGTGTAGATGTCAGCGAATAGAAGGACTACATCTACACTCTCAGTCATCATTCGCCCTCAATCCACCTTTGATGTGACAGTGAGAATGTCGTTATAAGTATTTTGTTCGCTTGCATTCACATTGAAAAGAAAATTTTTTTTACTTATCCGTTTAAAACAAAATTTGGATAGGTGTCATTGATTCCTGTCGAAAGTTGAACAAAAATGTTCAATAACTTCGTCATCATTTCTGACTGGAGCTCTTCGAGATGATAGGGAATTACTTTGATTGTTTCTACAATAATACATTGTAACTATTAATCATAACTTACTTGAAGAAAATTTTCATCGAAATTTTCATTTTCAGAAGAGATTTTTGCATGAATCATCATTCTAACTCATAGTCAATTGGAAAAAACATGACTTTCATTTTGTTAAATATTCTTCAATTATGTAAATAAATAAACAATTCTAAGTGTGTTGCTCATCAATCGATATTCTACAGAGCGAAATAGTTGTTTGTTTATTATATAAAATACATTCGTACTTTCTCTGGTGTATTTTTGATATTGTATAAGAGATTTGTATTTATCTTTGAATATTCTTGGACTCTACTTGCTTTTTTTTCAAACTAAGAGAATCAAAAATATAAGAATCTTCGAATTTTTGAATTCTAAATTTCTAGTACTGTTTTAAGATAAGAGGCTTTCTGACAAAAATATATCGAAACTTGAGTATGATTTTCACTCAGAAAGAGAATAGTACATAATAACAACACAAGGTAGAGTTCGAAACAGACATTACGAATTCAAAAGTGGATGAAGAAAAAATTTTTAAATCTTATTTTTCTTTCGTTTTCTTTCTAATAAAACCAATCTTATTGTTTTATTCTAACTTACGGTGTTTTAACCCATTTTGCTTCTGACATTTTCGGTTTTTGTGTTGTTATATCTACGGGTATAACATAGTGAGATTCCAGACCACGAAAATGATCAATTCTCAGCAAGTCAACACTAGTCAGTGCATAACGTAAACGTTCTATCCACTAATTAAATAAACGAGGTTTGACATTATCAGCATTCCAATTATAAATGGCATATTCCAAAGTTGCGCGCCAGCACCTTGATCAGATGGAAAACCTAAAGCAAAAAAATAAATACACAAAAATATTGAAACTTAAGCGAATGAACTTTGTTTCTCATTTCACTTAAGCCAAACTCTAATAATGATCTTGATACGATCGAATCGAAAAGACAAAAAACTTATCTTTTCTATGTAGATAGTATAAGATATCAAAGTTTTGTCAGGATTCTCCCTTTTGCTAAACAGATATCCTATTTACTACCTTGGAACTTCAATAACTTATGACAATCAAGCGTACGAAATGTTCATCTCGTTTTTAAAAACTTTGTTATGAAACGAAGCTTGTTCAAATTTTTGAAGAAAAAAAAGAAACTAGTTTCAGTTTCCCAATCCGTACATCAATATGAAACATTTGGGCATTTCCTGAATTATGAAATTGTAAATGAATTATTAACAGATACTGCTTTATATATTTTTATGTATTCTATAATTACTTAATAATAAATTGATAATTTCATAGATGTCTTACGTCACACGTGTATATATTGATGCGAAAATATCAATAGTTTTCTTACTTTTATCAAGAATTGACTCAGTACAACATGCACGATGTCATAGCTAAGTGAAATTTTAACTTGATACATATTTTTTCCAGTTCAAAATAGAACACGAAAACAGTTTTGAACATAGAAACATTCTAGGTGAAAAATTATTGTTTCACATTAATCTTCCTCAAATTTTTAACTTAATTCATATGAACTATAAAATAACTTTTAGAAAAACAAGATATGACTTATCTTCTGTGACATATCTGCTGTAACCGTTGGTTTCATAGTATTTTCATCTAATTGAAACAAATCTGCATGTGCCCATACATCAACTGAATCGTAATCGATGTAAATAGGCATATCACCCACTATTTTAATATGATGATCATTGGCATATTTCTTTAATTCAAACCGTTGTTGATGAAAAACATACTGAACAAAAAGATGATATTGGATTCGGTCTTTTTGTTGTTGACGGATGTCATCTAAGGCTGATGATTGATGACGACGTAGGGAATCAGGCCAATCAGCCCATGTTCCGTCTTTATACTAAATTAAATATATGATATAGATCTTTTATTCCGTATAAGTATTTATCAACTCTCTAGTTTTTCTGCAAACTTTCTAGAAGCGAAATTGAGAATTATATCAATATCGAGATATCCTCTTCTATATTCCAAAATTGAGTGAATACAACTATGTACAGATAAATTTTAAGGACATTTTATTCAAATTTGTTGCTGAGACTTAGTTAATATGCACGATATTATGAGTACAGATCGAACAATTATAGAGTAATGTTTAGCAAATAAAAGCTTTATTATAAGAGAAATTTTAACTTGGTTACATCTCAGTATATAAAACCATAGGTTTTTTTTTGTACGGTTTCAAATTATCGAGAACTTCCTTTCAATCAAATTTTTTTCAATAATTGGTTTTCGTACGTTGAAAATGGGACTTATCAAAGCCTGTTGAAACCAGACCCAGGTCAAACGCTTTTATGGTTGATGGATTCCACTGCTGTACCGTTGATTTGAGCGCTACTTTCATCGTTCACTCAGTATATCAATAAGTTCTCTATTTATTTCTGTCATCAGACAGCAGAAACTTATTGAATCTTCATCTAGAGTCGAAAGTTTTATTGGGTCCGGATTTGACAATTGTCGGAATCAACACGCTCTGGTATTCATATGGCTGAATAGAAGTTGGTTGAATCTCTTATTTCATTTAGTGCAAAAAAAAGCGATCATGTCCAGATTCTCGAATTCTGTTTCCAACAAAAATTATATACTTCTGTTCGTTTTATTTTCGAAACATTTTGTGTGCTGCAAATGAACACATCAAATTACACCAGTTAGTCGTTAAAGTGACAATCAATAAAATCACTATAAGAGACAGAGTATACTAGATTTGCCTGTTCTTTAATGGTCAGAAATAAAGTAAAATTATCAATCCAATAACGTTGCTCGTCGAAAAAATTCTTTCATTTATTTTCCGCTTCTTTGCCATTCATCTTGAAATTTTCATATGCCTTTCCTAATAGTACTTCTTTCGAATTTCGTACATCTTTATAAGCAACATAATCATCGAGAAACTTAGATACATTGATCTTTTTCAAATCATTTTTTGATAAGAAATTGCTCTCGACTAACTTCTCAGGCGAAATCAACCACCAAATTCTGATACTCCTGAAAACAAAAACAAAACTATTTTTAAAATAAACTAGAAAAAAAAGAAATCTAATTTTCTCTTCTGAACAACTGAAACTTCCTCATCGATAACTAGAGTCTAAACCAATTTTTATCAACAAAAAGTGAGGAGATGAGAAGAAAATTTGTTTACGTTCTTCAAAACTTCTTCACGCTGAAAATTAAACTTCAAAGATCGAGATTTTCTTACGTAAGTGACGTAAGCACCACATGTGAATGAATCGGATCAGATTTGTCGAAACAACTAATGCAAACACAACCAACACTATATTGTTTTGGACAAATCCGAGCTAGTTTTATTAGAATGTGATGTTAATATCATCTACGTGATTTTTTTGTGTCACTGCTCGCCGAAATAACGATTTTCTCTAATGTATTGGATAAGATTTCAATTTTGACGTTACTTCATTTTTGTCTGTCATACTCTGCTTAGAATGATGAATAGAAGGATAACTATCATTTGAAGTGCATTTCCAATCGAATCGTTATTGTTATGCGATTCGAAGGACAATCGAAGTACTAGTCTATCTATTTATACTAACTTGAATATGGTGATGGCGAATTGGTTGGTGTTATTGGTAGAATTTGCCAAATTTTTTGTCGTGTTTCCACCAAGAAATCAATAAATTTATAGGCTTCTGGTCCAAAATCACCAATACCGTATGAAGATGGCAATGACGATATATGGACTAATATACTAGATAATCGTTCGATTTCCATTTGCTTTTTTTTTATTTGGTCAGTGTTATTTGACTATGTTAATCACAATATTTATCAATGGAAATATATTAAAATAACAGCAGATGTGTTGTGTAGTGAGATAAAATTCTAGAACAGAATATCTTCTGTTTTCTTAAGAAATTCGAATTACGGCTAGAATCTCGTCAAATAAATAGAAAAAACAAATAAATAATGTTATTCTTACATAGAGCAATTGAACTGTAACAACTGTAGATATCTCGACTATCATAAAGAGAAAATGAAAGAAAGAAAAAAAAGAGATTAGTCGTGCAGAGTATCAGTCAATGCAAGACAGAGAAACTAGAAGAAACAGTAAGAAGAAGACAAGATGGAAAAGAGAGTGGATATCTTAATACACTTTGTTGTGACTAGCAATAATGATAATAGCAAAAAAAAAATTGAGATTGAAAATAAAAAACAAACTCTCATAGTATATCTGTGTACTCAGATCATTTGCATCTTTTTGAATTAAATAATTTATTCTTCAATATTTACATTAGTTGCTTTGACGACTCAACAGTCAATTTGATCATTTGTAGACGTTGTCTTTGTATGTATAATAGGATGAGTGTTGGATAGTCAAATAATTTTTAAGTAATTTTGGAATCGGTAACCGTATTCTTTGATTGTCTTCCATTGTATTAGGTGAAGTTTGTCAAACTATGTTCGATCGTACTTGATGACATGCAACTAATTTCTAATAAAATCAATCCATACGGAATCGTCTCAAATGTAAAATTCACTGTAACTACAATGGCAAATTCTTCATATTTTTTGCCTACTAAGTACATTTTAAATGATGTGCATATCTGTTAAAAGTAATAAAAGATTGTTCTCTTGTTTTTTCTTTATATTCTTCTCGAGTCATCGAGTGCGACACGTTTCTCTACCATGATCTAACAATTACGACAGGGACGAAAGAAAAAATCTCTCTGCTATGGAGCAGAACAAATTTGGACTCATTGATCTTTTCCATGACCCGTCCTTAACGTATATATGTATTCCACAAAAACATACAGGAAAGCTATGCTTTTTCGACTGGTACAATGTCTTAGTATTCAACCGTCTGAACAACTGCTTAGAGAGATCCTATTTAAAAGCAAACAGAAAAATGAAAACATGGATGATTTTAATTAGTTTAAGGCATAATGAGTTGATCAAAGTCAAACAATTCCGACTTTTTTTTAGATTAAGTTGAAGATAATAATCGATCACTGACATTTTCCTATTAATCAATGAAAGCAAGGGTATGTTTGGGTGTGGATAGCGAAAAAAAAATACATGCCCACAGTTCCATCTACACACCCTATTCCATTTGTGTAGGATGATAAATTCAGCATCATGTGAAAAGTAGTCTATGAAAATACTTTTTCTCTTTTCGATTGATGGAAATTGCATACATTTAGAATATTTATCTTCGAACTGTGATTTAATGTTATTCTCATAATAGTAAACTGAGAAGCAGTTTTTTTTTGCAAGAAAACAAAACAGCATGTTTTTTTTAAGATTTTTTTTCTGTTATGATAAGCAAATGAAAATAGAACTTGTTTCCACTATTCATTTCTTTTCACCTAACCTCTGTGTAAAAAGTCTTGGTACAACAATTTCGTTCGATTTTCGAATACTGATAGATTGTAGGACAGAATCAAAAGTAGTCAACTACAAAGAGAATTTCTTGCTCTTTTTAAATATATATTCAAAATTTTGTCCTGACTTCAACTTAATTCACTAACAGCAAATATCTGATGGGGATCAAAAACGACGTTTGTACAGAATACTCCATGCAGTCCATTTTTATATTTGAGTTAAGAGTACCTTAGTTTAAATTGAACGAAAGAGTTTTTATACTCCAGTTTGAAGAATGAAGCTTGCTCTACAAAAAGCTTAATTTACTTTGCTTCGAACATATCATTAAAAACCATTAAATTTCCATGCATGTCAAATAGTAGAACACGGAATAAACGCTTATTGTGAAAAATGTTATTTTATAGAAAGAGTATCATTACGAAAAATAGTTGTAACTTTTGATCCTTTTGAGTTCTAGTTTATTGAATCTCATAGTTTGCTAGAATATGTAATTCTTTACAATAAGAGGAGGTAAAAATTGTCCCACAATACTTCTAGCAAAATTACGAACAAGACGAAAAAAAAAAGCGCGTATTAGATTTTGCAAACGACATTTTTATTTATTCAAATATTTGCTTACAGCTAACTAGACAAGAATCAGGGCAGAATTCTAAAGGGATATTTAGAAAGATCATCGAATTTTGTTCTTAACCGTCCACTTGAGATTCTTTTCGATTATATTTAAATGACCGAAAAAGCAGTAAACATATTTATTATTACCCTTGAAACTAGTGTTTTGTACAAATGTCGTTTTTGGTCTCTATCAAATATTTGCTGCTAATGAATCAAGTTCAGGTATGAATAAAATTCTGAATATATAGTTTGATAGAACAAGCAATTCTCTTTCTAGATGACTACTTTTGAGTCTGTTCTGCAGCCTGTAAGTGGTCGAAAATCGAACAAAAATTTTGTACCAAGACTCTTTACACAGGGGTTATATGCATACTATTTGTTTATGACACAGCTTGGAATGCTACAGAATAAAGGGAAAATGTTTCTTACTACATCTAACACCATGAACAACATACAACAAAAAACATTGAGAAATAATAATATATTGAGGTTTCAATATGTAAGTAACTTTTGCTACATTTTCTTTTTGACACACAATTACATGTGAAATTCTAATTCTAGACAAAAAAAAATATCATCTAGTTTCTATTATAAAGTACTTTTGCCTTTGCGTTAAGCTAGGACTAAGTAAAATTGTCTGTATTTTAAAACTTCTTACAACTATCAATAGATAGTCTACTCGTTAAAAGTTATTGAAAATATAATATAAGCATAGTTCTAGAGAATAATCCACTTATAGTATATGATAATTATACATAGTTTCATTCGTTCGAACTATTGCAATGGTTCATGTAACTTTGCATATACTACATGTTGAAACATTTCATCCTATTCATGACCACTGTGATGGTAAAACTATCCTCATCTCAATCTATTCGACTTGTGAATATCTCTATTTATATATTAATGCGTATGAACGATTTGAAGTTGACTTTTACTTACATATTACAAAGGAATCACAATGGTTTTATGAAATTGTTCATCCAACAAATATTCTATTTCTTAATTTCTATGAAAATTTTAAATATGAATAAGACTGGTTTAATTCATTACACAATCTGTAGTCGTCAATTAAATCGGTTTCGATCAATGACTTTTCATGGTGACTCCAGTCAAGTAATTGAATATTTCTTTCAACAAGGCACAGCTGGTAGACTCATTTCTCTCACAATATATTTGCTACGTTATGTCTAAAATGTTATGGCCAATTGAGAATAAATTAAAGCGCTTTGATATCGGTATGTGTTCAGACGATGATTACTTTGATATTCTTAATCGCTTGCCTTATTCATAAAGATTGAAAATAAACGGTTGTATTAACGACAAAAATGACCACAGAATTACAACAATGTTGAATTCTAAGTTGAACTCATGACTGACGTCTCTAACGATCTTGAACTGTATATTTTCTATCGTGATAATTAAATTGATGGTTCCAGTAATATCCTCTTTTCTCTATTTCTAAATAGTTACCTTAGAATAAAGATGACTTAAATATATTTTTGATTTCCAGCACTGAGAAACACTTATTCCTATCAGAGTTCCTTCATTAAGATGTTATCGAATTTTTCTTCGGTTTCGATCTCAACAAGAAAAATATCTCTAGTCTACATTTATCAAATTAGTCCTTTTCAAATACTATTTTGAATGAAAAAGAAACGATGCTGTAGTTCTGCGACACATAAGTGAAATGTTTGTTACAAGGGAACACGAGGTATATTTAGTAATATTTTTGTGCACAAAGTACCGATGACTTTCTCTTCGAAAGAGAACCTTCACTATATACTGATAAAATGTTAATTCTTGTTACAATCTGATAATATATTTTTATTGATATGCAAAGTATTGTCAAACATGATTTTTTAATGATTGCTTTCATGGGATTCACTTTTTAATAAAATAAACATATTTTGTATTGTCACTTTTTGATAGATTACTCGAAAGCACAAGCAATCAACACAGCAATAGACAATAGTATAGTAGTTTTCAAAATTTCACAAAAGTTAATTTCTTCCAAAAGTGATCTATTAAAGGAATTTTACAATTACAGAGAATCTGTAGAACCAGAAAAATTTCGAAAATATTGAGATTACCACAAAAGCAGACAATTTTTTCTTCGAGAATCCAGAACTTTTAGACCATACCGAAATCTACATAAATATAATATTTTTGGGGAATAATAAGTCAGTAATTATGAGGATTAACACAAATTTTCTATGAGCATATCGTGAGATTTATACAACTAAGAAGATCCCAAGACCGTAAAATATTGAAGACTATCTAGATTATCTGGAAACTTCTGTGATTATTAGAATTTCATAGTAATTTCTATATTGACAAACGTTTTATGGAGGTAAGATTAACTATTTTATATATGTGTAAGAAGATATTAATAGAATATTTCGTGAGAATTTTAGCAAGTGCTTATAATTACGGCCTTGTTGATGTATATTGATTAGGATGGGTTTGTGGACATTTACGCACATTTAGAAATTTCCTTTTTTTTGAAAATCTCAACAAAACTCGTGATAGTTAATAAATTTACTATAATTAACTTATATCTTGAGGGAGAAGATCGGATAGTACGACGCTTTTTAGAGTTTTTATTTAAAGTATGAACCCTATCTATAAAAAATAAACTTAGACGGCGAATATCAGCTGAATGAGTTACCTTGCCATTAATCTCGAGATTATAACGCATGCATATTTTTTTCAGATATGCGTAGATTGTTAGATAGCTTAAAACCAGCTATTCTTATCTCCTGCATCTTTGTGACTTA